TGTAGTAGACTGTTCGCAAGTGCCAGCATCAAATTTAGCGAACCACGTCAAGAAATTTGCTCCTCGCAAATTTTGCAGGACATCTGATAACCCTATATACATACGTCGATCCTATGAGGACGAGGTCCAGACCCAGAATTTTGTGCATGATTTTGTTTTAGTATTTTAAACCTAAAAAACAGAATTGTAAAGATTTTCTTTAGAACATAGCTGTATGAAACATATAAACTTTGTGCATTAGTTTTTTTAAGTATTAGGGGTCGTCAATGTTAACATTTTTTTCTTTTGGCGGCTCGCCAGAATTGGGTTTTATCCAATCACAATGCGGCTGTCCACACCAGCAAGAGCTTTTTTCTGCGGCGATGCCACGCCACAGTACTAGGCAGCTTACTCTTCGAGAGCTGCACATCGTCGTCGAAGAAAGGAGCGCTGCGTCGGCTCTACGGTATCTTGTTGATGCGGACAACTCAAGTGAAGACCTTGAACCTATCCTACGCTCAAGCCTACGAGAACGTACTTGGATCTCGGTATGTCGACAGACCAGCTAGCTACAGGCGTCCAAAGGGCCAGTGGAAGTCTTTACTATTTGATACAGTGTCTGAATGCTGATGAATCTCTCGAGCACTTTCGCCTAGAGAGAGAGGCATTCTTCCGCCTCGTCGACTTGGTAAAGAGCGATCCTGTCCTCATATCCAGATGGAATTGCCCATTTCGTGGGTCTGCTGAGCTTCCCCTCATGGTATCGCTGAAGTGTCTAGGAAGTTACGGCAAAGACAACACCTGGTCTAAGCATGGAGTATTTTTCGGTCTTGGCAAAGGTGCTATCGGAAGCTATCTGCGTCGTGCAGTAAGGCGGTGTTGGCATTGGAGAGTAGCACAATTGCATGGCCAGACCAAATGAAACGTACTCAAATTTCGCGTCGAATTCATTGTGAATATGGTTTTGTTAATTGCATTGGAGTAGCTGATGGTACACATTTTCTTCTAGCGCTCAAACCACAAACGAAAGGAGAGGCGTACTACACTAGGAAAGACTCCTATGTGATCAGCGGGCTTATAATTTGCGATGATATTGCCAGAGTACGACACTTGGTTGTGGGGTGGCCAGGCTCAGTGCACGACAACCGTGTCTGGAGAAATAGCCCGCCAAATCGAAGTAAGAGTGAGTAATTTAGACCCAGTGAGTATATACTTGGAGACTCAGCATTTCAACCATCACAAACAATGATTCCAGCCTTCAAAACGCCTGTCGGCTGTATTATGAGTGGAGAACAAACATATTTCAACTGCAAATTGGCGTCGATAAGAGTTAGGTCGGAGCATTGCATTGGCTTGTTGAAGACAAGGTTTCAATACGTTAAGGGCATTCGTTCGAAGATGTAAAAGAAACGACATCTATGCAAAACAATTCGGCACATTACATGTGCATGTTTACTGCACAATCTACTAATTAATGTGCCAGTTCCCGACGAATGGCAGGTGGATATACAAGTAAATGGTAGGAGTGACTTGGATCTTTCAGCAGACGATGAGCTGAACATACCGGTAATTAACGCATCTGACGGAGAAGAGCGGCGGAATCAGCTCCTAGCGTACTTACTCGAACTTCGTGGATAGCTGCTATCGGAAGAGGTAATGCCAGATCAATATCTTCCTGTGAGACCCCTTCCTGTTTAAGCTTTGTTCGCTCTCGAAGCAACGTGACGAGACGCTGTGTGCACCAATGTTCAGCCTCTTCTCGCAATTTTTGCGCATGCGCATTTGACTCTGCAATACGAGCCTCTGCCTCTTCAACCTCCTTCGCTACCCTCTGTTGCGTTATCCACTTAATCAATACACTTAAAGAGCTGACGCTTGAATCTGGACCATCATTGTGCCACGGAACTCTCTTCTTAGAAGGCTGCTCTATCGAAGCCAGCCTACGGGCCTTCACAACGGCATTATAACAGCGTTTTCCGCAGACGCTACTGTCGAACGATTCTTCGGCCCCGAACGTTGAGAGCATTGCAGCCAAGCAACTGCGATGCATGCTGTGCTCAAATCCGTTATTTCCACACGATAGTAATGCCGATTCATCAGCTGTAGCCTTCGCAACGCGACTGCATGCCTTCCACTTGCGCGGTGCCGTTTAGATCTGCCAGTGAATCTGCGACTGTTCTCCTGTCAGATCGGCGAAAACAAATGTAGCTGCTGCTGCCCGACTTGCGCGATTTTTGATTCTGGACGCTTAAAAATATTTCACCCAATTTGAGCGCCTGAAAAAAGTTTGACTTGCTGCGGCAGAAAAAAAATGCTGCGAGCACTGACTACCCCTATTTTAAACCTTAAAAACAGAACTGTAAATATTTTCTTTAAAAAATAACTGTTTAAAATATAAAATAACCGGTCTGTTATAAAAACTTCAGAAATTGCTAGCTTTATAATGATCCGTGCATTCTACTGACTTAATGAGGACAGACCTTGCAGAGATTTTGATTTTTGACTCGATGGAATGCACTTTGAGGCAAGGTCATGTTGCACCTTGGACCGTGCCTCTGTCCACGATGGCCAGGCCTTTTTAATGGTGGGGATTCCCACATTTCCCACTATAAAGCTTATGGTGTTATAAAATGTAAGGTCGTCTGGGAATGATGGCGCCATAATCAAGTACATGTAGCTGAATCGGACCCCGAGAAAGCACAGCAAATCAGGCGACAAAATTGATGAAAACCACAATACATGTACAGAATTTTGCCTCAATGAGGAAGCTATAAAACCTAAAAAGAACTATGACACTCTATCTTCACAGTCTTAAAAAAGCATGATTTGAAACCTCTATTATGGCAATACAAATATCGCTCTCACTTCCGGTATCGTGGTCCGACCATCTCCTTGGATTTGGTATATTATATTAAAGTAAAAAGTTACAAGCTCAACTGTGAGGCTAGGATAATGACAGCTTCTACGTCTACATCGGGTCCGTAGCTGGATTGCTCGGTTGATTTACTTCTTTCATTTACAGCATTAAAAGTTATGCCTGTGTGGCGAAAACAGTTCTCGATAGTACGCTTACCTTGTAAATCTTGCCAAATTTCCTTGCTCCATTGCATTGCCTGCAGCTGATCCACAGCATACGCCTTCCTTTCAGTCTCAACACCGTCCTTGATCTTGTCGAAACCCACCGCAACTGCTTCTTTCGGTACTCCAGCTTAAATGATGCAATGATGCCAGCATCCATCGGTTGTAGGAACGCAGTAGTGTTGGGAAGGAGAAACTCCACACAGATGTTGGTACATACAAGATCCCCCAGCTTGTGTGAAGAAGCGTTGTCAAGCAGCAAGAGAATATGGCGTCCACACGCACGCATATCTTTATCCAGATTAAGCAGCCATTCCTTAAAAATAAAGCCCGTCATCCATGCTTTCTTATTAGAGCGATAGCAAAATCCCAGCTCATCGGCTGTACGTTTCTTGAAGCAGCGGGGATTCTTTGCATTCCCCAGAAATAGCACCGGTAACGCGTCAGTCCCATCCGCATTCGCCGTGAGAGCGAGTGTGATCCGAGTCTTATTTTTCTTGGCACCACGGGCTTTCCTTGTGCAAATGGAGCGGGACGGAGCCATAGCATAGCAGAGTCCCGTTTCATCCATATTGTAGATATCTTTAGGTTCATAAAGATTGGTTACATCTTGTAGTCGCTGTCGGCCAAGGGTAACTTAAACATGATCAGCAGAACCAGCTTCACCAGGAAGCTTCCGGCATCGCAAGCGATGCCTCCGCTCGAACGCGGTTAGCTATCCGTCCGAAAAATTCATATCCCATGCGTCAGGTAGGTTCTTCTGAATCTCACGAGCTTTAAGCCTAATTAAGTCTCGTGAGAGACATATACCACTACCTTCTACTTTTAAAATCCACTCTATTAAGAGCTTCTCCAGAACAGGCGAGGTCACACGTAGCGGTTTCCGCCTCACGCCATCACCGTAGCTGCTGTTCATTATCTTGGAGGCGTCTTTAAGGATATCAGAAACAGTAGTTTGCGCCGGCGCTCGCTTCAGCTTGAACGTCGCTTTTGCCCATGCCGCCAGCTCTTCTTGCGTCATGCTGGGGCAGTCGCTCGCCTTCTGGATGAGATCGCGCTTCTGTTTTATCTTCATCCAGGCTCCCATGGGTATGGGCCGACGTAAATTACGCACTGCTGGACACTAGCACGGTTCTGCTCTTTAGAATGACTGGAGCTGAGCGATTCCCGCCAGAAACTCCCTCCTTAAAACAGCTGCATCGTTTTGCTCAGGGTATTAATTTATACCAGTACCGGAATAGAGAGCGATGTTTGTACCTTAAAAAATTATGCTCATATCAGGACTTACTAATTGTGGCAAAATGCTGTACATGAACTATGTACATGATTTTGGTAATGAAACCTCGCCAGAAATTGCACTAATATTGCCCTAAGACACAGTACATATTCGGATAGCGTCCTTCCTCTCGCCACTTGAGAATAGTGGCTGACGCGGGCAGCCAAAGGATGTGGGCTGAAGAAGCTCGCTGCGACTTGTCACACTCATCGATTTCCATTCCTCGGTCCATTTTGCGCGCTGCGTGGTACTTTACATGTACAATTAATGCCTTTTCCCTGGCCTCCAGAATACATTATGACTGCATAAATTATACCTGAAAAAGCATACTCCTTCATAAATCAAGTACTACTGCAGTAGTAAATGCGACGTAAATCAACATGAATTGTCGGTATCATACGCTATGCTATTACAGCTCTCCGAAGCTGGTTGTTGAAGTCCGCTTTACCGCCTGCAACCCTACACCCCATTACAAATCTCAACAAATAAAACTTGGCTTCACTATTGCTCCGTTGATCTTTGCCATCGGTCAAAGCAAAAGGCTTAGCAGCACGTCGCCGAGCATTAGAGACTTGTCATGGCGAGGCGAGCAATGTCGCTGCTTATGCTGGCAGTGGTGCCGGCCACCGCTACAAAGATCCAAGCGGTAAACCTTTGTGACGGCACCATGGAGATGCACATCGGCAGTCACGGTGAACCCGTCGAAATCGCTCGGGGCGGTGGTCATAGCTTGGAGCTTCCGGACGGCAGCAACGCGGCGTACCGATACGGTGCTTCGTATCAAGCCACACGTACGTTTTGCTGCCGGTTGCGACGGGTTTCTTCCGTTTTCGTCTCCGATACATTGTCATCTTTTTGCGTTTACAGAGGCCGAATTTGCCAATGTTGACAACAGCACGTGGTACGATATCTCCATCATCCCTGCCGGCAACATGGGGGTGCGTGCAAAATGGCAAAAAAAGAAAAACCAAAACAAAGGCAACTTTATTGACAGAATGTGTATGTTCGTTTCAACCTCCTCAGCCAGGTTCATGTTCCAGTCTGGAGGACTGCAAGGCCGTGACAGGAGGCACAGGCTTCAACGTGGCAATGATGATCGTACCTAGTAGCGGTGGAGGGCCCAGCTCGACTGAGACTTGCAGAGTTTTGCGTTGTCTCCACGACGGCTGCGATGACGCCTATCAGTTTCCAGCCCAAGACGCTCGAACGCACAGCTGCAGTGCCGAAGTCGAGTTTCAAGTAATCTTTTGTGCCGAAAATGCCCCAGAGACGACGTCCGAATTGGCATCAGACTATTGGGTGGATGCCAGCAGCTCTTCGGGCTCTGCGAGCAACTCGACGGGAGGAAGTTCCAACAACTCGTCGCAATCGGATTCTAACGCCGATGTTGAGTCTCAATCGAGCACAACACCGGAGCCATCAAGTAACAAAGAGAAAACGATTAGTGTGGAGTCAGGAGAGTCGTCAGGAACGTCAGCATTAGTTTATGTGGCAGCAGGGGTGGCAGCGGCTGTGGTAGCGCTTGTGGCCGCTGCGTTTGTCTTTAAACGAAGGCACGCCATCGCGTTCTGGTGGGAAACTAGAAATTACGAAAAACACCAGCGACGCAGCTCGGACGAACTCGGATTCGTGCGGATATCAGACGATGCGATGATTTAGAGGGCAGATTTCTCTGCCATAAATTAAGATTTAGAAATGGCAAAAACGACGAGGCCACATCCAATGCGTTTTTCTGCGTCGTTTCACGAATTCCAAGTGGAAAATGGGGAATGGCCAATCTCGCGACGGGTTTGAGGGCGTCTTGCCGTCCGCGTCGGGCGCAACAACTGCAAATACCGATCCGCCGATCATTTCTGACGCATGGAGTGCCGCTTCAAGTGCCGAAGATGGCAGCGTGCGGCCTGTGGTCAACATCTCTCCTGTTCATATCGATAAAATCGTTCCTCCTGGCCACGCGCTGCAACACGAGGACACTCCACGTCTTAGTCCTGAAGCAAGTGAAGTCGTCCGTGCATTTAACAACGTCGAACGCGCCGAAGATCGGTTTGCAGTCCCAGAGAGCGTGCGAAAATCTCGAGCATTGGATGCATACGTCGATGTGTGCTCCGAGATCTTGCCAGGATTTCTATACGTGAGCAACTTACGAGTAGCTCGTGACACGGCGAAGTTGCGAGCACTTGGGATCACACACGTAATCAATTGTTGCGGAGAGCTGAAACATTTCGCAAATGGCGTTGAGCAGCACGAAGCAACTGCGTTTACCGTCCTGAAATTGTCACTGCGAGATGACGCAACTGAAGATCTGACGCCATTTTTTCCTCGAGTGGTGCAACAAATTGCCAATTCTCGACAGCAATCTCAAAATGGCACAATAGAAAAGGTGCTTGTGCATTGCCACCAAGGTGTTTCTCGTTCGTGTGCATTTGCAATAGCCTACGTCATGTTGGAACAGCAATTGCCGTATCGTGAAGCTGCAGTCATAGTAAAGCGTCAACGAGCAATCTCGAGTCCGAACTCAGCGTTCATTTGCCAACTTCTTGAGTGGGAAAAAGATTTGCATTTAATGAGAACTAGTGGCAACACAGCTTTTGGTGGGCTGTATCGCTTGGCCCCGCACGCTATCTATGATCCCGAGTGTCTTGTACTCAAGCGTTGCTACGATCCTAGTGCTGGATCGGCACGCCAGCGACAGAATGTAGCCATTGTGAGAACGCCAGACGACGAACAGCGACTACTTTGGTCTCAAGGCACTTTTGTGTATCAGAGCCCAACAAGTGTCTCGGGTTTAGTCATCTGGCACGGCTCCAAGTGCGAGATCCCCGACGCAGTAGTGAACGCGACCGAACTTGCACAAGAATTGGTCCGCATGCAGCAACTTGCTCAGAATTCCGAAGCCACGACGCAACTGAGAATTGTGGAGGTGCAAGAGAGCTCTGAGGGCCACAGAGGGTCAGATTTTGACCTCTTTGGCTACGCGACAGAGCTGCAATGGAGTCGAGATTTGATCCCTAAAGTGCCACAATTTCTTTTAGCAACAAATGAACGCAACAGCAACGCTACGGATCGATTGGGAACGGAACCTGCAAGCTCCGTGTCGGTTCCCAAATTGTTCGTACTAGAAGAAATAGGGGAACAGAGCGGCGATGGCTTGTGGGGTCGACTTACAAATTACGATTCGGAAGATCTGACGCCAGACAATGCCTTCCTACTGTGCTCAATAAAGCCACACGAAGCTGTCCAAGGCTACGTGTGGGTTGGTAGTACCTGCAGTCTTGCACCCGACAAGGTTGTCCAGGCGGCACAAAAGCAGATTCAGAGTCTGTCAGAAACAAACTCACTACCGTCACTGGTAATTGAACATCAGGACCAAGAGAGTGACGCGTTTTGGGAGCTCTTTGAAGCGGGATATTAGAGCTGAAAGAGGTGGCCGCATTTCTAACGTTAGTCTTAGATTTCCAGATTACATGTTGTTACTTTGTGTTCTTTTTTTGCTAGCAGTCTTCCACATGCAGGCTCCTCTATTGTCCTCATGGCGTTTACAAAGATCGATCTTCAGGTGGTAAATGGTGGTCGATTATTTCTAAGTGCGACTGCCAGTCGGGCTACTGAAAAGTCGCGTTGAAAACTCTCTCGACGTCGTATCTTGGACAATCGATAAGGATGGAAGTTGCAGGGAATGAATTGTTGGCATTAAATGATCTTCTCACGGGTATTCAGGAAGCAGAAGACGACTACGAAGAGGTAGAGTGGCCACAAATCGAAAGGCTCGGAGTCTGAGTCTAATTTGCGATCTCGATGTGATGAAGCAAAATCGAGCACAGCAAGTCACGCCGTACACACTCAGTGGAGCTTCCAAGCCACTTGAAGGTGGAGGATCGCTCTAAGTGCTCTCATCCGTCCTGCTTTAACTCATCTTACTTCTGTCAGTGACTCGGCCTATTGGTCAGATCCGGCAGGAAGATCCCAAAGCGATCTGGTCAATGAATGAAGTCCCAAGTGACGACGAAGATGACGACACCTTCGAGACTAGAGCACGTCCCAAGTACGACTATGAATCATCGTATCATCCTGTAGATATGTGCTCTCTAATCCAGTATGCTGCAGGTTTGAGATTCTCTACAAGCAGAGTGTCATGACAGAAGACGTTTTCCTTGGGCTTAGTGACAAGGACCCATCGTCAGCCCACTGCGAGGCGATGGTGGTGCGCGTGGAGTGTCCCAATCACCGCCTGGAAGACATTGAACTGGACGTGAAGCGACAAAAACTGCTACTTTTGTCGTCGACATTGTACGTGTTCCATCTGAAGTATCAAAGGGCGATGTATTAACTTCAACTTGCTGTCCACAGGAAGCTCGTGCTATATCTGCCATATCCAGTGCGTCACCTCGAAGGTCAAGCCAAATGGGACCACAAATCTCAGTCCCTGGCCGTCTCGCTGCCCATTATTCGAGACGAATGGTAGTTTTCTTCAGGAGATAACTAGTAGAAGTGTCCTTGTAATGTAGCTAAGTCACTCATTCACATGACGGGTTTCTGCTCTTCTTCTGTACAGTCACGGTATTTCACGAATCGATTTTTAGCCAGTCAGCGCCCACTCACTCACTTTTACCGTTGTTCATGGCGCTAATACTGTCGTCTCCGCGGCTCGAGGCTGTGCGCCTCATCCGCGAGCAGCTCAGCTGTACATTGTGGTGGGTACATAGTTATCTCATTGCCTATAACGGTCACTGATCCAATGCTCGCTAACTGTAGCGGCAAGATATTCCAGGACCCGCAATGTCTCGACTGTAAGCACAATTTCTGCCTCCAGTGCATTCTGTTACACCTCAAAAGGAACAATTCGCAGTGTCCTATCTGTCAATTACCCACAAGACCCAGTGAAGTGACTCGGAATCAGTTCTTGGAGAGCATTTTGGCGGCCTGGAACGGCGTCGAGACGGAACTCGAGGCTCTGAATGGAGACCCGACACAGCATGCCACTAAAATTACCGTGGATGACACCGATAAAGCCCTCCATCGAGCTGCCAGTGGGTCCGGTACTACCGTACCTTCCACCATGGATACTGAGGAAGAGAAGCACAAGAAACGAGGTCCAGTGGGTAACAACAAGTGGAACATTGACACACAGGAGATTCGACAGGAACTCAGGCTGGAGCAGCCGTATTTACCGCAGAATTACGGCTCAAGACAAGGCAGTTCAGCTTATTGGAAGAAAACGAGCAGTAGCGACTTGCCCGATGACTACGCTGGGAGTTCAAGTGCGGTAATGAGAGAAGGTTCCAGCAATGGCAGGAGTAAAAATGACAAATCCAGTGTGTCTTTGGATCAAGCTTCGGCGGAGGATGCAGAAGAGGAGAAGCAGAATGAGAAGATGCTCTTATCTCCTCCGAAGAACAGCCTAATGGCGACGCAAGAGGTGGAGATTTATCTGGATCGTATCAGCAAGCAGCGAGAGGCGTTGAGTCAATGGGAACGGACTTATCAGGCAAAGAGTAGCGACATTTCGTCACTTTCGGATCTCGAACGCTCTCTACACAGCAGCAATAGTTTCGACGAGTTGCTGAAGGAGAGACGGAGAGCGTCCCAGCATGACGAAGACGGCGATCTGTTGACGCAGATGACGCAGATGCCGCCAGCTACGAGTACACTGGAGTCTCCAGACTTATTATCCTCTTTCCGACGGCAGCACACAGACTCTAATGAGAGCGAGCGACGGCCAGCGAAGCGGCGAGTTTTACTGTCGTCGCCGCTTTCCTTGCATCCTCGAGGTCGAATATCGTCGCCGTCACGGAAGAGACTTCGTATGCCTACTCTGCAGGATGATAACTACCAGACGTATGGGCGCAACATTGCGTCAGCTATTGATCTATCGAAAGCTGAGTCCGACGAGGAGAATGAAGTACCGGACAGTCAACCAGCTACGGTACTACCGGAGCAAGAGTACAAGTCGTCTGATGACTGTAGTGCTAGCGATGACGATGGAGACGAAGAGTATAAAGAAGAAGAAGAGTACGAGATGAAGCCGGCAGTGCCACTACCTCCTTCTCCCGAACACAAGACCGCATCTCCTGATCCAAGGGCGTTATTATCACGAAAGAAAGAGCGGGTCAGTGATGATTTCCGTAGCGCCATCACAGCTTTCCAGTGCGAAGAGAAGAACGACGATAAGCCCAAGTCACAAGCAGCAAAGCGACTTGTAACATCAGCTTCCCACACAGCTGCTACGACAAGGAAGAGCGTCGTAAGACCAAGCTCGGCTGGGAACTCGAAGCCTCCCGTACACACTTCGAAGAAGCCAGCCAATAGTGACAACAACTTCGTGTTTGTGAGCTCTGATCTCGCGCGTGAAGAAGTGAAGCGCGTGCTCGAGGCAACGCAACGACTAGGAGGCAAATTCGGACACGACTTTGACCTCAAACGTGACCCAGTTACCGGCCGCTTCTGTACCTCCGTGACGCATTTAGTCACCAAGGCGGTGCCTCCTATTGGCGCCAGTAGTGGAACTGCTCCAGACGAATTGCGATGCAAACGCACAGCCAAGTACATGCGCGCACTGGCCGAAGGAAGCTTCGTGATGGATTTCTCGTGGGTCAAAGCCAGCCTCGCAGCTGGCAGATGGCTGACTGAAGACCCGTTTGAAGTGATCGGAGACATCTACAGTGACGCAGTGGGGAAGCCACATGAAGGACGCATCCGTCGTGTTCAAACGGGGAGACGCAACAGCATTTTCAGTATCTTCTGCTTCGTGTTGCTCGTGTCGGAGAAAGAGTTCGACTTCCAGTTCGCAAGTGTGAAAGCTCTGGTCAATAACTTTGGAGGGACAGTCGTCCACGCCGAGAAGTTCTCGAAGGACAAATCCAAGCAACGTTCGCGTCGTACACCAGTGGGTGTCGTCTCCAAGGCCACGTTGCCTTCTGATGCCAAAGCCAAGTGGCAACAGTTCCAGATCCCCATCGTGCGGATCACCTGGATCTTTGACAGCGTGAGTCACCTCGAAGTGCTGCCATTCGACGACTATTACCCGTACTGATGTCTGGATCTATGTACTGGAAGTTTGTCAGATGCGATTGTTTCTCTCTTTCTTAAAAGACTTTTGATAGTCTGCTGTCCTACAGCTCTTGAAGCCTCATTTCTTGTGCATTTTACCGTCTGGGTTTCCTCCCTTCGACCGCCTTGTCTCCGTCCACGGGCACCTGCATCTCAAAAATGTCCAGCTGTCCTTCGTTCTTAACTGCGATGTTGATATTGGCTCCGTTAGCCACCTTAATGTGGCGCTGAACACACTCGAGCAGCTCCTTCTGTAGTGCCGCTAGATCCACACCTGCCAGCACCTGCGAGCCGCGCTGGTGAGCCAGGATGATCTGCAGTCGCTCCTTAGCTACTGACTTGGATGAAGACGCCTGCTCTGCCTCCCCGAACAAAGACGCCAGCCACTTCTTGGCGCCGTGGCGAGAGCTCGCACCTACGCGGGCCGCCATCTCTGGATATTGGACGACCGAGGGCTGGGGCTAGTATTGTTTAATGAGTCGTTTTTAACCAGTTATTTCAATAGAAGTCGATTTTCGACGAATCACAGAAGAGGGTTGGCAGCAACACAATGTTTTCTTTCATCACAGTAATGCATCGAGTATGGTTTTATCACAGCCATTTCTATTGACACTTTTTACTACGTTGTAGTAGTACAAAGAGAATTCGATTCGTTTGTGTGGGAGATTGGTCAGATAACTATGAAGTCAACTGGATCTTTTAATTGTGAGCGCAGCTTTCCAAAACGGAAACCGCGCTCTCACCTGTAGTGTTCCTCATTCCAATCCCAATTTTGAATAAAAACTAGCTAGATGAAGACGCGAGTGCGGTGGTATTCAGTTGAAAATTGAAAAGTTACGCTTGGTTCTCGTCACGTTCGGAGGAATGCGTTCCAGCCGTCGGACAGGGATAAGTTTGAGTCATCATAATACGCACTCGCACTCGCTCTAATAGCGCCTGGAAGAACACAGCAACCTTTCACTGGAATCCAGGCACCAACGTCGCAATACACGCTACGGAGACAGCTAGCTATTGGTTTTGAGTGATCAGTCAAGAGGGAGTGACCCCTCGGAAACAGTTCTCTTCATCCATAATGAGTCGAAGCGAGCTGGGTTAGTTACTTGTCATCATTACACTCGCACATACAAACACGTAGAAATGCACTTGAAGGGGAATGTTCATGCACAGAGCTGTTAGTCAATGTGCTGTGAAGTACTCGACACGTAGTTTTCAGACTGGGGCGGCGACATTCATGATTTTCGAATCATCACATTCCGGTAAAAGTAAAAGGCATCCATCCATGCATTTGAAAAGACTGCAAACGACACCCGCGCATGTGCTGTAGAGGCGATAAAAGCCCGAATGACTGACGTGTTGGTTGGGTGTTGACGAATTTTGCCGCCAAAAATGGATGGTGGAATCAAAGAGGAACCGGTTACAACTTAACCGATGATGCGGTTCGAAAATGCTGTGATTTGATTGGTGGACAGATTTTCGGTTTATGGGACTTTGCGTTTTCAGAAACACATAAATAAAGCGTCGACAGCTTTTAGAAAGTGAGTGATTTTGTTTTAGAAACGACGATCCAATGCTTCGGCGACATCCCACTCGTGTGGAGGAGCGCGCCGACGTGGCGGCTGAGTACGAGGCCTATCTGATCGAGAAGGAGAGCCAGACCAAGCTCCAGAGTACGACTAGTCCACAGGAGCGAACCTTTGTTGTCGGCGCTGCTACCGAGACAATGGCTACGAGACAAGAAACCCGGCGACAGGAAGTTCGCGCACGCATCGGGCTGGACAACCGCCAATAAGCTGCTAGGTACTTTGAGATTAACGTGAGGACTGATAAGAAGGAAGGCTCTGCGTGGCTTCGTCGGCTACCTGGAGTAAATATTATAGGAGAGTGAGTACACAGGCTGTGATGTTATTTTGAAGAACTCGATACGATCGCACTAGCGTTGAAAGCGTCGATTTTATAAATCGTTGCGCAGTGAAAGTGGCTCTCTACAAGCTCACCATATAGCAAAAATTTATGGCTAAACCATTCTCGCTGAAAACGATGAAGCGTTAATACTGTGGTGCATGTAGGTGTAGTAGCTTTGGACCTAGTTTGAAGTTGCTACCGTCAAACACGAATGAATAATTTTAAGTGCAACATCACTTTACTTCCTAAACTCGTATAGAGAAAAAATCGGCATGCTCTTGGAGGCTTTAGATCTCAATTAACGTATCAATATAAACACTTGAAAGTTGTTTATCACGACCTGTGAATAAATACCTGATTTCTGTAAATATCTTGCTTCGCAGTGACACGTCGCCAACTTTGATCCTCATATGCGGATCTTCACCTCATCTTGATCATGAAGCGTGTTGCATCTGCGATCTTGCCACGGTACTACTTGCCAGAGCATTCAACTTTCGCTGTTTACAGTACTTTTTGCTTGGGGGGGTCTTATCCTTCTGCTGTCACACTCTCGACAAAGTCCACGAAGTGTCAGGTGCTGTTCTCACACTTATAGCAATAGCTGGTCAGCTGGATACCGATCTCCCGTAATCAAAAGTGAGTGTCTGGCTGTGCAGGAAACTCCGAATGTGCTCGAACACAGATTTGTTAAGAAGACAAAATGTGTACGTTTGGGAATGCTTGATTGTCCGCTTCTTCGCCTGGCATCAGTTTTAGTGGCGTGGCAATACTCGAGTTGGGATCAACTTCTCTCCGAATCTGCAAGCATCAGCATTTTGTGTCGTATTTAAATATTCGTAGGAGCTGCTAGTAGTGACTTGGAGTTGAAACGTGACTCATTCGTGCTAACTCATTCATGTATTTGCCGATAGAAAACGAAGAGCCTAGCTTTCAACGATGGGTTCAGACTCTGTCAGTAACACATCTCGTAATGAATCCACTCGGTGTTGCAAGCTAAAAACCATTGGACTAAGCCACCCGTGATCATGCGTTCCCATGCATCGATCCCCAGAATTTCATCTAATGCAGAGTCGCTCCGGCTTATTCCGTTTTAGCCTCCACGGAAATATCTGAACCCACGTAAACGTAGAGCGCCTTCAAACCAGGATCTTCGCCTGGTGATATCACCTCTTCAAAACGTGGACGACAGGCGTTCCATTTCTGTGGGAGCGTAAGTCCCTTGTTGTCTCGAAGATACTCCACGCACACCCCCGCTTTCATCACCTTCCAGTCACCTTTCATTCCATCATATGGCTCACGAGAGCCAGGAACGCATTCACCCTCCATGGCATCGAATTTATCTCCGCTCAGTCGTGGGTACTCTGTACGTATGAAGAGGAAATGTTTCTCTTCCATGTTGTCAGCCACTTCGTCTAAATCCCCAGACTTTGTCATTAGAAATGCTGAAAGTCTGGACGGGTCGGAGATCCACGGCGTTTGAGTTCCGCTGCGAGCTGTAGGAGCTGCTTGTTGCCCCGCACCAGATCGGAAGTGCATAGACCAAAGCTTCGGCAATAGGCCCTGAACTCGGGGTCGAATCTCGCTATCAGAGCGCGACGCTCGGCTTCCTTTCTTTTCACCTGTTCTCTAGAACTGTGAGAACACATTTCTACCGCGAGGGCTCAAGCACCACCAGAACCACTGCAAGAAGAAAGACGCCTGGTTTACAGCCCAGAAACATCGACCCTACAGCTTCTACATCCTACACGGAAATGTGTTCGAGAATATTCTCAGCTTCCTGAACAACCAGACGCTCACCAAGCTGCAGATGGTCACTGGAGACCGCTACCCGAAGTGCGAGCCTCAACTCTCCCAGTATTGCTGCAAGTGTGAGAACGACAACCTCGCTATTAGTATTTTCTTTCGCAAGTGCAGAGAAAGTGAGATCGCCAGTGAAAAGGCCGATGAGATTATCCCTTCCATGCACACTATTCGTAGGAGCGTCGCGAAGAAGAAGCTCGACTTCCTCAATATCCCGGAAACCTCACGAGAAAGTGAGCTGTACGATCGAGATAAAAACACATGCTGGAACGGTGTGGATCGAAGATGGGCTGGCTCAGAGAAATCGCTGCGCAAGATGCAAAGCGCAGACTGAGGTCATCTTAAATTTATCGCCGGTGGCTTTGGCAACAAAAACTGTTTTTTTTACTTTTAAAAAAGCCTTTAAAAGAGTTTTAGAAAGCAAAGACAATCTTAGAAACGAAGATTAATCAACAAGTTCTACGACTTTTTAAGATCTTAGAAACGAAGACTCCGCACGAGTGCGCCAACGTGGCGGCGCAGTATGAGGCCTATCTGATCGAGAAGGAAAACAAGTCAATAGCTACGAGACAAGAAAACCGGCAATAGGAAGTCCGCACCCGCATCGGGTTGGACAGATCCAATTAAGAAACTACATTTGAGATAAATGCTGTTGCTATTCGTGTCACGTCAACCTAGTATCCATCCAAGCGAATCTATGTTTCAACTTGTATCGTACAAGAGTCCTGTACGAGAAGATTATGGATGACGAACTCGTACTTTCGCAATGCCAAAATTGTGAATTGAGCTTGTGTGAAGACGAGAGAATCCGGCACTTCAGAAGACGTTCATTTTAAACGCTGCGGTCCGACGACAACACAAGCTCTATGTTCTTAAGTAGAAGCCACCAAAAATTGACGTTTACCCTTTTAAACGTCCTTCTTCCAAATACATGTACTGTGCCTTCACTTTTGGATCTATATTTAATGATTGCACCTTGTCAAACCTCGGACGACATCTTTCCCACTTATGTGGAAGAGCAAGCCCCCTCTTGTCGTCTAGATAGTCAGCGCATAGTTCCGCTTTTAGTCTTCCCGACACTTTTGGATCACGTCGTACATCAACTTTCGTCGAAACCAGCCACCCCACTCGTCCTGTAGCGCCTTAACGCGCTGGGCACAAAGCTGTTCATACTCGGTATGAGCAAAGAGGAAGTTCATTTCCTCCATCGTGTCAACCACATTGCTCATGTAGCCATATCCCCAGACGATAAACTCTTTGCAAATACACGAATCGACTCAAAGGCGAAAACCGCGGGTTTCCAAAGCTCCAGAAAGCGTGAGGAAGCGAGTGCTGGCAATTGCCAGCACGCCTTCTTCGGTCTCTTATCACAAAATACTCTCGACATACGACGAGAAGCCAGTTGCCAGAGGTTTAAGAAAGGAGCATCTCTCGTGTTCTCGTTGCTGTTTAGAAACATCCAATCGCTTCCTGTGGGTATCTCGCTTCGCAATGACATGTATCCACCTCAATTTTGACCCGCACGATACGAGCATATGGTTCTCCAACGCAATTCGATCATACAGCGTGTTGCTTCTGCGATCTTGACAGGGAATAGCTGAAACGTCCTTGATACCGTATTTATCCTTGGCTCATTTCTTGGTTACGAGAGGTTTGTATCCTTCTGTTGCTGCTTCGCACTCTCGACAAAGTCCACGGAGAATCACAGGGTTGTCGCTCTCACACTTGCAGCAATAACTGGCCAACTGAGGCTTGCAGTCTGAGTACCGATCTCCCGTTATCATCTGCAATTTGGTGAGTGTCTGGTTGTGCAGCAAAATGAGAATGTGCTTGAACACAGATTCGTTAAGGAGACAAAACGTGAATGTCTGGGGGTGATTGGTTGCCCCCTTCTTCGCCTTGCATCGGTTTTGATGGCGCGATAACGAACGAGTTTCGAGCGTCTTCCCACAGAATCTACAAGTGGAGTTCTCCTCAGGTTTTCTGCTAAAAGCGCCTTGGTATTGAGTGTGATTTATCGTGCCGCTAGCTCGGACCAAGTCTCATGTAGAGGCGTCAGTAGGAACCGAAGACTAAAATTATGAAGGTCACGGGATTAGAGCGTCACCATATTTTTTGAAGTTTTAGACAGAAATTCGTCGTTGAAAATGAGTATGGATCAGAAAACAACTTAGCGGAGCCGAAGTGTAAATCGTTGCATTTAACGGGGCTAGAAGAACTAACGCTAGATAGCGTTAGCTTCAACGAGCGTGATTTAGGAACTCGCGGAGGCAGAGCCGAGGTTTTCCCACTTGCAAGGGCTGCCGGTGCTGCAACTCGAAGCACAGCACTTGTTAAAGGCGTCGTCACTAGTAGCGCCCTTCTGTTGACAGCACGTAGCGACCCAAATGTTCTGATCCGAGTTCTGGGCTCCGCAAGGTGACTGGCATACTCTCAGCGGCTGAGCGCTAGCAGGGGCACAAACGATGGCTCCAATGGCAACGAGGGCGGTCAAACAGATCTTCATTATTGATGCTTGCGTTCTTGGGTTGCTCGACTTGTTTCTGTCAAATTCGAAAATGAGAATCGCTGCGTCCTTCGGCTAAACTACTTGTACTGTAGGCATGGCTTGTAAATGAATCATCCGTACCTTTACCCTGGTACTGTAACTCGAACGCCTCCGTTGTTGGCAGGATCTCATGATCTGCCGTCGCCTATCATGTTTGAGATGAGAAGCTGGCAACTGTTTCTGTGTGCAGGCAGTGAGGCCAGTATTAAAGAATTAATACATGAATCACGCTGAGCACGACGTTCGCGTAGTTTCATCGAGGTTTCCTGCGCATTATTACTCTTCATTATTATAAATTTAGCTGTGCCTAAAAAGCGATTTAAAGAAAGGAAACCACGTCATAAACACATGATCCTTTTGACTTGGCATCATCACTGACGTGGAGTATGCGCTTCAGTACATGTACAGTATTATGGTCCTGCAGCACCGGCTCTCATGCATACAAGCTCACAAGAAACATTCGGAAGTACAGTACAGTACAGTACTGTACTCGCTAAACAGTAAAACAGGTTCAAAGCGTTTCCACGTTATAAACAGATGATTGGCATCAACACACGAAACTCCTCACTGACGTAGAGTAAGGCTACTGTATCATTACAGTACCTGTATTTGGCTTGCACTCATGCAAACAAGCTCACGGGGATACCGTATTCCTCTGCTTTTCCATCGCCTTCAACGATTCTTTTAGACACTAGGACCTAGTGGACTGGATGTGAGCTTTATGTACCTAGTCTAGGTAGCTCACATCCAGTCCATGTGTCAGGGCAAAACGTTTGCGAAATTTTGTTGTGTCTATTATGAATTTTGTATGAAGTAGCCAGATCAGCCAGTGAACTGCTCGAATACCCGCTCCAGCGACAACTCACTAACACTATACTGCGCGATGTGAAATCGCTTCTTGTTGTCCTCCATAATGGCGAACACGTCTGCCAGTCCGAAGCTGTCGGTGCACGAGGTTTCGTACACTCCACTCGTATTACTGCCACTCCCACGCGCAGTTTCGAGTTCAGCAGACACCACCAACTCACCAGATCGTGCCGTCACCTGGTCCTTAAAGAGCCTCGTCTCGAGACCAGCGAAAGCTTCCTGCACCAGCCACTCCTGGACGAACTCGACAAGCGGAATAACTGGTTCCTCCTTATTAGGAGTCACATCATTCTCATCCGACTCAAAGCGAGAGCGTAGACCCTCGAGCCACGTCTTGCCATGCTGTCGAGAGACGGCAGCAGTGGCGGCGTCTCCGTTCTTATGGAACAGATTGTGGCACAACTCGTAAGCTTCTTCCAACTCCCGTAATGGAATACTATTCCTCTCCAATCCCTCTCGACGAGCATTCGTTGTCGGTCGGTCTTTGATCGAGCGTCGGATCTGCTGCGTGTAGTTCTGGATCTCTTCCGCATTCCAAATAGAGGCGCTATCCAGTCGCACGCTGATCGATATTCCTCTTGCCACACGCTGTTTCAAGTCTGGAATGCTGCCAGACCACACCACTTTCCCCTTGAACAGGACGACAGCGTTCGCACACACCGCTTCGGCCTCCTCCATACTGTGCGTCGTGAACAAACAACTCGTGCGGTTGAGACTCTGTCGCTTCTCATGCAGCACACGCCACATCAGTCGTCGCGCCACGACGTCCACGCCAGCGGACGGCTCGTCCAGTAGCAGCAACGACGTGTGGTCGCTCAGTAGCGCCAGTGCCAGCATAAGTCGCCTCTTGTTGCCGCCACTCAAGTGCGAAGCTGCCGTTTTCTCGACCGGAAACAGATCCAGACGTCGCATAAGCTCGTCAATCACTGCGTCTTCCGACATCAACGCGTTGCTGCGACTACAACGCAGTCGGTAGAAGAGTTCGAGGTGTTCACGGACACTCAAGTCGTTAAAGTAATGGTTGCCCTGAGAGCAATAGCCGTATCGAACGCTGGCTTCTCGAGGCTGCACCGTCACGTCGCACGAGTCGATCAACGCTTTGCCACTTGTGGGGGCGATTCCTGCCGTTAAGATCTCAAACATGGTCGATTTGCCCGAGCCATTGACGCCCAACAGCGCCACACAGTCGCGTTTTTCCACTGCGAAGCTAACGTCGTCCAGAGCCACCACTTGGCCGCTCTCGTTCAGCACTGCAGCTGCACCTTCTTGTTCTTCCGAAGTCTTCTTTCGAGGGTTAAAGATCTGCGAGACTCGAACTACACGCACCATGTCGGAATTGGGACTCTCTTCGTCGAAAGCGGCAGGACTTTGGTCCGCTTCCGTGTACCCTCGACTGTGTCTACGACACGGGAGCAAGCCTCGTAGCCAGTGTAGTTTGTGACGCACTGTGTGCTCCATCAGCGTAGGATACATCTGGTACTGGTCCATGATGAGTAGTAGCAACGTGTACAGCACGCCCGACAGCACTAGCGCACACCAGCTGCTTCCCGTGACCTCCCACGCCCAGACCGACACCTTTGGCTGTCCAATCAGCCCTTCCAACATGGCGAACGGGTTGCTAGTCTCGAGATCTCCCCCCGCCTCGAGACACTGATGTCGCATGGGGGCCCAAGACACCGTCACGATGTTCAGCACCGCCGTACTGAACGAGTACAGCGGGAAGAGCTGCAAAACGTACGTGACCAAGTTCACCTGCGTGCACAGTCCAGGGATCATGGACAGGGCGAACACGATGGACGCCGCCATGATCTGGAACAGCGAGAGATACGACATGTACGACTGCGCTGAAGAGTGCGACGCAAACACCAGCGAACTCAAATACTGCGCCGGGAGAATCGCCAGGCCGAAAATGGCCATCGACGCGAACCACGCAGCGATGATTTCGGCCGTCAAACAGCCCGAGAAGATGGCGAGGATGACGCAAATAATGACAGCCGCTGACGTGTACACCATGTAGTCGAACAGGAAGTTGGAAAGCCAATACAAACACGACGCGTTGGCAGTCTCGAGATGCTGATACTGGATGCGCTTCAGGCCGCTTTCCTTCTCTCGGACGACGGGCGCGACGTAGAATCCGACCACCGAACTCATCGTCATCAACAGGTAGAACGCCACCATAATGCGTCGTACGACGTTCACGGCCTCGTCGGGGTCCAGCGCCACACCGTCCTCTTCGTCCGACGTCACGCCAGTTCCGATCTCGATCTCAATGGGGAAGACGCCGCGCTTGACTTCCAAGTCGCAATTGTCAATTCCAGGGGATTTTTCGTGAGCTGCGCGAGCTTTGCAATAGGCTTGAGACATCCACTGCAACGTCACGGGCAGAGACCGACGCACGGTTTCGTTGTAGTAGAGCGCGTACGACAAGACCGGAGAGATGACCGTGTTGTCTGCTGTCCAGTTGACGTTCGAGACGAAGATCCCCGCGAAGAACGTCGTCGTGTTGGCACGTGCAATAGCGTCCAGCATTTCTTGCTCGGTCGTCGCGCTCTGGTCGAACACTATCGGGTGGGACTTGTGCTCAAACTGTGCGACTAAATCGGCCACTGAATCGGTCATGGACGACGCAGACGCGATGAAAAAAGACGCGTCTTTAGCAGCCGGAGACAGCGTCGTTACTGTCTCGATAGATCCGCGAGAGTCCAGCAAGTGCTGAAGAACAGCCATCAAGATCGCGAAGAAGCCAATCGGCCACACGTACTGCGCAAACAACGACTTCTTGTCGCGCGACGACATCTTCACACGCTTGATAATCAGCGCACGCAGTTGCGACGTCGCGTGCTGCCAGCCAGGAAGTGGCCTGTCGCTCCCAGCAGCGAGCAGATCCGTCTTGGCCTTGTCCGTCTCCATCTTCGTACGTACAGGGTCTGCTGCGTCCACGTCGTCTTTCTCATGGTAATACACGTCTTCTCCCTCCGTCACCTTGACGAACACGTCTTCCAAGTCGGTCGCTGCGATGGCGTATCGTTTGATAATCTCCTTCTTCTTCATCGTCTCCAGCTCTCGAAACAACGCAGCGAAGCGCTGTTCGTCGCCGTCATTCAACTGCACGCGCGTTTCCCACTTGTTGTCGCTCACGATCGCAGCATTCGGCACGTATTTCCTCAGCGTCGTCATCAAAAGATCCGCCCACTGTTCACGTTGCGATCGTCTGTGCGCACTCTCGTGTTCCTCGTCGTGATGCACCACAGTGAGTTTATACCCCACGCCAAAGCGGTTGCGAAGGAACAAACTCGAGCCGCAGCATTTCAGCTTCCCTTCCGCCACAATGCCGATATTCTCGCACAAAGCTTGCGCTTCCTGCATGGAATGAGTCGTCAGGATGACCGCTCGATGCGTCACGGCGCGTTTCAGAGCGTCCCACGTGTCCAGCCGCGCCTTCATGTCCATGCCAGCGGTGGGTTCGTCCAGCAGCAAGACGCGAGACGAGTCCAGAAGGGACAACACCAGCGACAATTTACGCTTCTGACCTCCTGACAACGTCTTCGCCAGCGCGTCACGCTTCTCGTCCAGTCCGAATTGCTGCAACTTGCTGCACCGGGTCTGCTCTGACACGGTTTTTACACCCATCGTGGCCTTCAGAGCACAGACGAGCGAGAGATGCTCCCACACGGTCAAGTTGTCGAACAGGATATTCTGCTGGAAACACACGCTGAGACTCGTCCGAACGGCTTGTGGGTTGTTCGCCACACTGATCGATCCACCCACGTACGCATCTCCGCTGGTGGGTGACAAGATGCCGCTCAAGATCGACAGCGTCGTGCTCTTGCCGGCGCCGTTGGGACCCAACAGACCGAAGATTTCTCCTTTCCGAACTCCGAATGACACGTTACTCAACGCCACCTTCCCGTTCGGATACGTCTTGGACAGCGATTGGACGAAAAGAGTGGGTCGGGAATGTTCCAAGTACTCCGGTAAGGACTGTTCTCGTAGCGTCTCGTCCATTTGGTCGTGGATAGTATCTCGCCCCATGTCTGTCAGTCGCATGGCCTCTTCGTTCTCCTCTTCGGATCCTGTTAGATCCACTTTAGTAGGGAACCAATAGGACGGCTGGAAGACGAAATACCACTTCTGTTGCACGCCGTAGGTGCGAGGAAACACGTTCTCCAAATACCATCCCAGCAGCAGATATCCTGCACATTGTGAAGCCATCAGACGGATAGGTGTCGCGACGGTATGATACGTGATGTGTCTGCGCTCCAACGTCACTGCATCAAACGCCAAGATGTCGTGCATTGTACCCATAAACACCACGGGGGAGCTGATCCCGTCCAGTACAAAGAGCAGCAGCGCTAGTGACTCGTTTGAAGCCACCACGTCGTCCCCCACCAGCGACCGAAGAAACGAGCCAGCACTCATGATGAAATAAATTAGCGGCGCACACGCAGCTGCGGTCTTGGTTTGCGTGAAAATCGGGGTGATAGCGAGGCCGAATAGCAGGATACTTGACACGAATGTCACTAAAAGCAGGAAGAAGTACACGTCTCCATCTGTTGACGCGGCAAACATACTGCCACTGAGTAGCCAAGTGCCGATCAGAGACACGACCACCGACGCCAGAAAGTAGAGCAAGAACCAGCTGATCAAAAGAGACATCGCCGGCAGCCCCATGATCATCAGATACTCCTTCAGTTGCTTCTCCTTTTCCGCCACGACGTCACGAACTAGTCGCACGTATGGCCAGAGGAACAGGTAGGCCAAGTAGAACACGATATTGCCCTCCAGTGGACCCGCCACAGTGTTTGCGGGACGTTTCGGCAACGCCGAGACAGTCAAAGTGTCCAGTTCGTCGCTCGAGATCGCCTTGGCGATGAGATTGGCCAAAAAGTAGCGAAGTTCGGCCGATAACCCTCCTTTTTTCACTGCAATTTTGCACGCCAACACACTTCGTCCCAGTGGCGAAGTGGCTGGGAAATCGCCCCATTGAAGACTGGCAACATCCAGCATTTTATCCACCGCTTGGCAAATTATTTCCGGAGAGAGCGAGTCGAGGTCCACGATCTCGTTATTGACAAACTTGGTGGAGTTTTCACGGATAAACATGTTGAGCGACATTTGGAACGGCATGACGTCGGGAAACATCATCGTGCGGTTAAAAGTCAAGTCTTTCGAGAAAAACTTGGCCAGTTGGTCCTCCTGCTCTTGTTCGGACGGATCGTTGAGGGTTTTCTGGTAGAATAGCGTCAATAACTCCAAGGGAAGCGGAACTTCGTCTTCACTTTCGCTTTCTGCCCTTCTTACGTCCAGACCGGCGTAAATATTCCAGCCACTTTTCATGGGGAACTCCAACATCACGCGGTTGGCTTCTTCGTTCGACGCAGTGTTGTTGAACGGGATCATCTTGGTTCTATCCGCGTAACTGGAAATCCCCAGCTGAGTTGCAGCAGGATATTCTCTAGTTGCAACAATTGTCAGTAATTTATCATTGACGGCAACTGGAAATGCCATTTTTTACCTGTTGAGGTGCTGCAAAAACAGTTGCGAGTCTTGCCGTTGCAAAATGGCCAAACTCTGGTTGCTTTTCGCCAGCAACAAAGGCAATGCGGTGAGCAATAATGTCGCAAATTCGTGCTTTACTTGTTGCACTCCTTGGGTCAGTTCTTCTGTTAAATCGCCTTCGTTTGAAGCCATCATGGCTTGTTCGGCCTGCAACAACTGACCATCACTCTCGTTTTCCATTGCACGCCGCATACCCCCGAAGCCCGGGATCCCTCCTCCGGGCGTCACCAACTGCGCGTTGTATTGGCACATTTTCTGGATAAGCAGCAGAATCAGCCCCAGCGGGATGATGATGTCCGTCACGAGCGCCGGGTACAGCCAGCGCTTACCCAAGCGCCCGCGATTAAAGCGACTCTCGCGCTGCTTCACGCGCCAGTTCTTCCATAGCAACACGCCTACACTGCTCCACAGACCTGCCATCTCGCCAACTGAGCAATGGCGCGTGCCCAGCAGGCAGGATTCTGAGCGGGATGGGAACGGGCTGACTCCGACGGCGTTCTCGTCATATCCGGATATGAAGCACATATCCGGATTTCTCACAAAACTTGAAAGGAAGTGAGTATTTTGCCCGACTGGCTAACCGACTATACAATTATACTCCCCAACATGCATAAAATGGACTTAGCCGACGGTCTTGGCAACACTCGCTCGGAATTAATTTCTATTCCCAGACACAGCGCCTTGCCGAGTCGAGGACTTAGAGACCGGGGTGGGGCAGGCCGCGCAGCGGCGCCCCCCGAGCGCAGCGCAGCAAGCGAAGAGAGGGGCGGGCCCACGGCTATAAGTCCGCAGACGAGTGCAAACGCGCTAGTGTCCTACCTTTACTCCAATTTAACCGTACTATACTTTCTGTACACGTATAAAAGTCGATGCTATGTTACCTCAGTCGGGCAAAATAACGAGTGCCAACTTGAAAAGCACCGGTACTGTATATTTTTTTAAAGCTCATAACTGGTACTTACATGTATTATCCTGGATAAATATGGCTACATTTGTTTTGACAGTTTGTCACTGCGTTTGCCACGTCAACGGGGACATTCATCTTGAAGTCACCAATTTAAATTTCCTTGACATGTACTTTGCCCTGGTAGCGCCTTAGACGAAAGGTTCAACGCACGTCAGCCAACCCACGTGGGTACGTCGATCACGAGCTCACGAAGAACAAGACGGACTTGCAAAGAATGCTTCGACTTTGCTGGCGCCAACGAAGACAGTCCTGTCAACGACAAGCACCAGTATCTTGAGAATGATGAGAACCAGTGGGTTAGTGAGGTAACGTTGCCTGGTTCCCAATACGGAATGACTATGTACTCAACAAGATGTACATCGCACGTCGCCTGCTCGAGGTGTTCTCGGCAATGAGCCCACATTCTTTGACCAGCTTTTTTCACGGGGGGAATTCGAGCCACATGCGCCTGAACCACTACCCAGCGACGAAGGATTGAGAGAAGTCCATGGGTGTCTACCATCACACGGATGCTGGTGCTCTCGCCATTCTGCTTTAAAATGACAAGGTTGCATCTTTGCAAGCTTTTCATCGCCCTTCTCGAACGTGGACCAACGTGCCACCTCGCAAGGGGATCTACACTATCAAAATCGGCGACATGGTGCAGGTGTGGTCGAGCGACCAGTTTGTAGCCCCGCTGCATCGCGTTCTGGCAAATGGTGGGGCCGACCTCTTCTTGGCACCTTTCTTCTACAACCCGTCGTATGAGTTCCAAGTAGAGCCCATTGTGGTGAAGCCGGGCGACGTGACCAACTACTGTGGTTGCAGCTACCCCACTGAACTGGATGTCCTTGGAGAGGCGGAAGATGAATCGCATTGCTGTCTGGAACTTTGCCACCACTTGGGCCATGATGTCATGGTTCAACCCATAACCTTGGCATTCAACGTGAGCACCGCTGGCTGTCCATTGGGACAGCCAGCAACTCGTCGCTCTGCCAAGCCGTCTCTACAAGTCAAAGCCGAGATGCTTCTCATATGGTTTCCTAGGCTAGAGCAGGACGACACCAAGTAGCTCTCGTGTCTTTAACTTCATTCTTAATCTCATTCTCAGTATCACCGCCTACAACTCAAGTCCTACGGCTACAATTTAAGGTTGTACTACTTGCGTCTCACACTACCGCGTGACAGCTAATAAACTATTGAAGCGTGACGTCGTTTCAAGACACCAGGACTCGATCAATACACCATGGTTCGCGGTCGCAGTCCAAACCCAAGACCTCGACATACCCGTCGAATGAGAGAGGAAGATGCACCTGGCAACGAGCCATTACACGATTTCAACTCGTCCAAAGAAGCCCAGCACGATGCTGGCAGCACTGGTGAAGCAGCCCAGCAGCAACCGCCTCCAGCACCTGGTAGCGCGCCGGCTGCAGAGGTCCCCATGCTTCGTCCGATGTTCGAATTCCTAGCTACGACGCAGCAGCAGCAACAGCAGCAGTTTGCTCAGTTAATGCAACAACAAGCGTTGTTTCAGCAGCAAATGTTGCAACAACAGACAAGTTCCCAGAAACAACAAAAGAAAAAGGGAAACCCGCCAATGTTCAATGGCGAATCAAGTGACGACTTGGAGCTATGGCTCTTTAGTACAGAGCAGTACTACTCTGACTGTCAGCTCGACATGGCCAGCAACACTTCTGAGTTCGTCAACTTAATTTTTGGCAATTTGGGTACAGCGGCACGTACGTGGTACCGCGACTTTAAGGTATCACTCGGAGAGAATCCAGCGACGTGGGCTCTATTCAAACAGCAAATACGAGAGCGCTTTCGAGACTCTGACTTCCAGCACAAACTCTTATCTGAACTCCACCATCTTCGTTGGACGGGATCCCAGCAGGCCTACACGACACGATTTCAACACTTACTCTCTCAGCTCGATGAGGACTTGCCGGAGGAAGTCAAACGTTGGTTTTTTCAGCAGAACTTACGGCCCGAGACCAGTGCTTTTGTGTCACAGAATATCCCTGATACGCTGCACAAGGCAATTGAATTGGCGCAGAGGTTTGAAGATTCGCTCCCTGCCAGCGACAAGAACATTAGAAGCGACAAGGCCAAAAATCGTAACTTAGGGGCTCCCCAATCGACTTCAAAGGAACAGCTGAAGCATAATAGCGGTGATAACAGAGCGATAAACGATTCGAGGAAGAATCACGACTCTTCAGACAAGCCAGTCTGTAACTACTGCGAGCGCGTAGGTCACACCGAGAGCGTCTGCCGGAAGAAGAAGGCGGCGAAGCGGGTGACGACGCCAAAAAACGCGTAGGCTCGATGGGTTGGCAACCTGTCGGGCTGACTTCATCGAACGGCGATGGCCATACGTCGTTCGGTAGCCCACACTCTCTGTCACTGCATCTCCAACCTGGGCATCGCGGTACAAGAGACAACATCTATGGCTATCTGGCAAAGAGAGCTCGCATCGAAGGCTCTGCTGTGGACGTATTCATTGATAGCGGTGCCTCCTTCAACGCTATCTCACCAGTGGTTGCGTCCAGATTAGCCTTGACCATTAAAGAATCGGACAAGCCACTGAAGATCAAGCTCGGTGTCAAGCGTCACATCAGTATTCCTCGGCGCACAGCTGAAATCGTGCTCGACATGGACGGATTCCCTCCTTACTCGACAGAAGTTTTCGTCATGGACGTTCCTGAGGACAAATATGTATTGCTGGGGGTGGCTTGTCAAGATTAATCTGGACATCGATTGGGTCACCAAATCAATCCGTCCACGGGGGGCGACATCATTAATGCCATTTCGACAATGTGTGCGAAATGCTGCTTGTATAAAGGCTGCAGGTTGTCGACGCTCTCTCACTAGGCGTACTCGATCTCAAGGGGACGCGACTGTGCTCTTCTACGCTCGACACAGCTATCTATCCCGCCACGGAGCTACCAAGATTATCAACCAGAGGCAGTTCCGGAAGATAAATCCATCAGAAGGAGAATTTTGTTTTATGGTCCATATTGCTGAACCGGAGCCAACAGAGAAGGCCACCCGGCAGCTCGAGCAGGACTGGGACAAGATCAAAGGATCACCTGTGGAACCGGTGGTAATGAAGTACAAAGACACCGTGTTCCGCATGCAGCTACCTAATCGCCCACCACAGCGCTCAGCGGATATTGAAGCTGAAGTTGAGCTTGCCGACGACACTCCAGTAGCAAGGAAGCAGTATCGGCTCAGCGAAGAAATGAAACGGACCATACGGCAGTGGACGAAGGAGATGTTAGACGCGGGTATTATCAGGCCGTCCAAGTCTCCGTACTCGTCGCCTACATTTTGTGTCCGAAAGGCAGTTGGCTGGCGCATTGTTCACGATTTTCGAGCAATTAACAGCAAAATTCGCATTCCAGTCACGCCAATTCCTCGGAAGGAAGACATCTTCGATGCAATGGCCAACGGTCACTGGTTTTCTGCGTTAGATCTTCTTTGCGGATTTTTCCAGGTCCGGCTACGGGAATCAGATATTCCGTACACAGCATTTTTGACTCCAGACGGCCGGTTTGAGTACTTGGTCACGCCAATGGGACTATCGTGCAGCCCCTCTGCCTTTAATCAGTTGATGCAGCATGTTTTCAGTGATCAGAAAGCCTTCTGTCAAGCTTACTTTGATGACCTCTTCATTTTCACGAAGTCAACCGCGATCGAAGACCACTTACGTGCACTGGATGCTGTCTTGCAGCGCTGCCAGGATCAAGAACTCTACGTGAAGTTGGCAAAATGCACGTTTTGCTCCGCGGAGATTCCGTGTCTAGGAGACTACTTTGGGCGCGATGGCGTTCGAATGGACCCAGACAAGATCCGAGTTATACGCGAGTGGCCACCGCCTAGGACAAAGCGCGAGCTGCAATCATTCCTGGGGACCTGTGTCTATGTGTTGAAATTCTGCGAGAATTACGCGGACATATCAGCACCACTCGTCGAAGCCACCAAAGAGAAAACAGCACAGGGGCAGATTCAACTTACGCCGGAGCAACGTGATTGTTTTACCAAATTGAAAACAGCGCTGACATCGCCACCGGTCTTAGCTCACCCCGATTCGTCAAAGGATTTCCACATCCGGATGGACGCTTCAGACTATGCTGTTGGAGGGTATCTCTATCAACTTGATGCGGACGGCAAGGAATGAGTAATTGCTTACAATGGGCGAAAGCTCAATCGCGCTGAATTAATGTATCCCACGCGCGAGAAAGAACTGCTAGCTGCCTTGCATGCAATGCACGTTTGGAGGGTTTACCTCGTCGACAAGCCATTTTTCGTCAGCACAGATCATCGAACTCTGCAAACGATATTGGAGCAGAAGACTTGTTCGCAGCGTCTCGCGCGCTGGCTAAATGAGCTGCGATTATACCAGCCATCGTTTCGTTGGATACCAGGCGACACAAACATCGTTGCTGACGCAATTTTTCGTAATTCGGCATTTCAGCCAAAGGTGTCTACACATTACGTGTCTTTATCCAGCTTACTTCGACAACTTACCACAGCTCACGAAACTGAAGACAGTGGCGAAGACGTTTATCTGCACTACGCTAAAAGACGACCCTCCATTCTGGTGCAATGTACCCAGCTCTACCCTGAAGACTCCGTGTTCGGTCCTCTATATCAGCTTCTGCAATCGTCCCAAGTAGTTGAGACCACACCGCCAGTGGAGCTTCACCGCCGGATTCGTGCGAACATCAACCATTTCTTTCTCGAAGATGACATCCTGTACTTTCAACCGCGTGCTGACGCACCTCGACGAGTTTGTGTGCCGGACAGCCAGGATTTGAAGGATGCTATCATTTATAAGCATCACAATGTTGCTTCCAGTGGCCATCCTGGGTGTCTGAAGACTCTTCTTGCTCTTCAAGACAATTTTTACTGGTTACACATGGAAAAGACAGTGAAGCGATACGTTACTACTTGCGAAATGTGCCAAAGGATCTAGGTATCGCAACGAAAACCAGCGGGCTTGCTTCATCCGTTAGAAATTCCTGACCGTCGATGGAGCCAAATTACTATGAATTTTATTACCGGCCTTCCACGTTCTCGGCACGGACTCTACGATGCTGTATGGGTAATTGTCGACCGTCTTACGAAGAGGGCACATTTTATTCCGACGACCACTACTTGCACAGCGGAAGAAGCGGCCAGAAATTTTCGAGACCAATACCAGCGGTTGCATGGCCTACCAGATACTATCACTTTCGACCGCGACAGTAAATTCACGTCTACATTTTGGTCAAAGTTAATGAAGTTCCAGAACACACAGCTGCAGCTTAGTTCGGCATTATGACCTGAGACCGACGGACAAACAGAGCGAACCAACCACTTCATCGCTGACTACTGACGAGCATTTGTATCGCCGCTGCAAACTGACTGGAGCGAGTTACTATCGCTAGCGGAATTTGCATACAATTCGCGGGCTCACTCAAGCACCGGCATGACACCATTTGTGGCAGATCTTGGGTACAACCCCAGATCCGTGAGTGAAATTGCCTTACCGACTCGAAGAGGTCAAGCACAATCTTCGATTCGATTTGTGGAACATCAGCAAGCAGTGCTCCAACAATGCCAAGACGCCATTGAAGTCGCACAGACAACGATGAAGTTTTTCCATGATCGTAATCGTCCGACGCGTCACTTCGAGCCTGGTGACCAAGTTCTACTGGATATGACTAATCTCGACCTGCCCCATGTTGGTGTATCTGGAAAGCGAAAACTCTCCCCAAGGTTTATTGGGCCATATCCAGTAGTGCAGTCAACAACGCCGGATACCTATAAAATTGAGCTACCACCGGGAATTCAGATCCATGACGAGTTTCACGTCTCCTATTTGAGACCGTATCACTTCGATGAGAATCCCCGGCGTCTTAACGACGTGCCACGGCTAATAACACGCGAAGGTCACGAGGGATTCCAGGTACAAGCGATTGTAGGGATGAAGGTGCGGCGAGGCACACTGCATTACAAGGATCGCTGGTATGGACGCGATGTCAACGACTCATGGGAACCTGCTACTAATTTGACCCAAGCTCAAGGTCTGATTGATATCTACGCCAAGTTGCACCAATCCTCCAGACCCCGTCGTTCAACACGCCACTCAACGCCTTCGGCTTCCCGATAATTTTCGCTGTTCAAGAAGCTATGCTCCTCTTCGGGGGAAAGATTGTCATGGTTTAAATTATAACCTTGGCATTCAACGTGAGCACACGCTGGCTCTGCCAAGCCGTCTCTACAAGTCAAAGCCGAGATGCTTCTCATATGGTTTCCTAGGCTAGAGCAGGACGACACCAAGTAGCTCTCGTTCCTTTAACTTCATTCTTAATCTCATTCTCAGTATCACCGCCTACAACTCAAGTCCTACGGCTACAATTCAAGATTGTACTACTTGCGTCTCACACTACCGCGTGACACATGAATAGCAACGTAGAAGAATCCTCATTCGGTCGCAGCAGCTCGGTTCTTTTCGATTGCTTTTCAGACCTCTCCGTCCTTGGCGTCTCGGAGTTTGGCATCTACCTCAGCACCACTGAAGATTGCCATTAGGGCTGCAATGTCAACGACTACCGTATCGGATATCGTCTTCCTTCTGGGCTTGCTAGTTGACAAATGAGGCAGCTCAAAAGAGTTTCCACGCAGTTTGGCATGCATGTTGAAAGTCGATTCCTCGTACATCTGTACTGTATAAATACTACTGACCTTGACGCCAGCAAGCTTTGGGAATTTTGTTTTTCTTCTCATCCTTTTGAAGGACATTTTAGAGCAGGATTCGTAATTTTGGTGGATGGGCACTGAGATACGTGACTCTCGTTAGAGCACATTTAATGACAAGAGCACAACAGTCTTACGGCACATTTAACGCGCTTAAGCACATTTATCATGCTCGGTTACTCATAAATGTGCTATAACTTAGCGCACAGTTATCGTGAAATCTCTAAAATTACGACAGTAGCGTTGGGTCTTCTTGATGAAGTACCTGTCGATGCCCATAGTGCCCGATCCTCCTGCGTCTTTGACATGAGGCCTTCGCACGTCAATGAGCGAATCAAAGTATCGGCCGTGAATCACAAGTACGGTGGTATTTGTTCATGTATTTCAGATGCACTACACTACAGAGGTGACCTGCTATCTACGTTTAGTGTGTTACCCAAAGTACTTCAGTAATTGGTCTTGTATGCCTTTGCAGCTGGCTCGGCGCTCTTGTGGAAAGGACTGCTCATTTGAGTAGCACAGCAAAAGCTAAAGCGTTCGAAGTCGCCTGGATCTAACGTAGGACATACTTACACTTCGCTTTGTGTTAAATCGCGTCACGTTATTCACAAGCGCGTATGCTTGAGCCAATATCATCACTCCGCAACTTGCCCCATCGGGTTGGATGGGGTTTCGCAGCATCTTCTTATTTACTTTAGGAAGCTTGAGTAAGGGAAGTGTAGGCTGGTTGTTCGAAGCACGATTTTTATTCCACTCCACTCGCTGCTTGATCCAATCCTTGTGCCATTGCTGAATAAATGGATACATCCCGTGGGCCCATTCACGCTCGGTTTCCGTCTCGTACTTGCCAATAGGGCCGTACAAAAATACCGAAATCTTCTCTTTGAAATCGACTTTCGCAACAAGAAGAGTCCAAAGCTCGCATGATATGTTGCACGGGTACACTTGATATCTCATGAGAGACAAGTCCTTTACAATTTCATCTCCGGTTGGGGTCCTTTGGCCTTGGATAGTGGGTGTTGAAGGCCACGAAGCCAATCCAAAACTAGAATCAAAAACACGGCAGCCATCTCGCAGATCACACAAATACTGCAGGCACATTTGAATCACAGTGTCCGTGAGAAAGCAATTGCGAGCTACCGAGCCGACCACATCGTTGTTAGTCACCGAAAATTTTCCCGATGGCAGCATGAATGCAGTCTGAAAGCTCGCCGATTTGTACTTGGCGATAATATCATCCGCACAATCTCGATCACGACCGCCTTCCCGTCCGGAAGTTATGTGAGACTCTAAACTAAAAAGGTCCACTTCGCCATTTTCTTCTTGATTCCACGACATGCTCAACCAATTTACATCCTTCTCCCAAGCAGTGCAAATGCGTGATATAGAATAAAAGTTCGTGAGACGGAATACAGCTTGTCTACATACAACAAGCAATGTAACTATCAGTTTTCACACCAGGGGAAACGTATTGCAAAGACGTACCGCGTGAATTTTTTTCGCAGTTCGCCGTAGCTCACAATGAGTCCCGTGTGCCGTTGAGAGTGCTCTTCGTTATTGATCGACCTCAGTTGATTGCGTCTGCGGGTTTGCTCTCTTTCCTGGTTCAAAACTCGCTCCATAGTCCTCGCTATCTCTATCAGAACCACGAAATTATACTCGAAATCTGCCGGACAAACCAGTTCGCGGCGACAAACGGGTTCCCGTCCAAATAAGAAAGCGTCGGTCATTGCACGAGGATACGCATCGAGAATCCTTTTGACAAAACTCAAATCTGAAGTAACTTTAGCCCACCGGAGTAGATCCGATAACTGGACCGAAATATTAGGCCAGGAAATTATTGCTTTCCGCGGTGCAGGAACTAGTTGGATCTGCTTCATGGATTTTCGTGTCGTGTTGCGCTTCTTCTTTGCTGGTAGTTTGGGAACATCTATATCACCATTTCTCCGAGTACTCAACGCAAAGCTCCCGACTTCACACTCGGCAACCTTGTTGTGATCCTTTGTTGCTCGACACGCTAAGGTAGAATTATTTGCTGGATTCACCATTACCGAAGCTGTTCGTCCACAACTCTCTAACCTGTCAGCGCTGTTTAAGCTAGTGTCAGGTGTCCGTCTGCCGCTGCTAGTGTTGTTGAGAGCCCCGGTACCCCTGCGATAATAGCTGTTGGTGTCTGCATCAACTTCACCGATCATATCATCGTCATTCACTCCGAACTCGAATACATCAAAGAACGAGCAGTTTTCTGCGTCATCTTCATCCCAAACGTTTGAACTATCAGCATCCTGCGGGTCAGCTGTGCTATCATCATTCTCATGCGCAAAATCCTGGACGCCATCTCCAGTGCTACCATCGCTGCAGCCCGAGGAATCACTATGCTGAAGTGACTTCGATAAAGTTTTATCCCAATTACCAAGATGCTCGTAAAAATTCTTCGACGACATATTTGATAGCTAATTCAGCAATGGCTCAAGCGTAGCAAGCGCATAGCGATATTTTTCCGCAGATATTGTTCTCTGCGGTTTTTCTCCGCAGAGAACTACCATTTCAGCCTTTTCTCTGCGTCTCAGCTTCATGAACTCCACGTTACTTGGTTTGGGATTTTTCCGCTTTGGGAGTGGATGAGTTTGTGGATCAACCTCTTGATCACTGTCATCAACATGAATAACATTCTTCACTCCGACTTTCTCGTTAGAATTCACAGATACTGAGCCGAGTGCTGTTGATATTCCATGCACGCCGTCTGAAATGGAGGTGAAAAGCTCTGAGCTAACGCAAATATTTCAGCGTGCAATAACGACGCTATCTGGGAACTCTGGCAGTCGAAGTCCATCTCGCGCTATCATCAGAAGGTGACGGCAAGGTAATTTAATACTGCTGTGAAAAAGGCATGAACAGCTCCACACCTCTGCATCGCAAACGTAAATATGGGAGTTTGAGGTGACCTCCCACTTCGAAGTATTTCCATATCGGGTGCAACGAGCTCCATCCATCATCGTATGCAAAAGGTCCCATTCTCGACGGACACGCTGATACGTGTACTCGCTGAGCACCGTTGACATTCGACGCAGATAGCTTGGTACTGCATCTGCCTGACGGGAGCGTGACGATGACAAACTCAACGCGTTTGCAAATTGCCGCATAACCGCTACCTGATGGCACAAAAGACCTCCAATCGTTCCATCCAAACCCGGACGGTAACCCAACAGCGCCTTTAGTTAATTCCAATTAGCTTCCACTCGATTGATAGTTGTATTGCCAGCCGAAAAATAACGCGACCGAACGTAGCAAGCCCGCATAGTGCTACATGTCCTCCAGTTCTTATCAAAATAGGATAGTATGGCGGGGCATTTCCCCTCACAAAAGTTCTTAAACTCGTTGTAGTTCTCATCAAAAGCTGACTTGCTGTAGCTAAATCACATTAGACGTGTACACTGAGCATTAATTCACGTAGAACCAGCACTAAATAATATCAGAGCTGCGCACCTCTTTAGCATCATCAAAAAGAACTTCTCGAGCTCCTCGCGATCCGAAACGCGTAGGTCAAACTGGCGCCGACGGAGAAGCTTCTTCCAGTATGTGATTGCGTGGTATTGACATAGTAAAACCTTCACCTGCGGAAAACACCGGCTAGAGTCCGCCATTCAACGAAATCTTTATCGATGACAACCGTTTGTATCTGTTTCCAGCCAGGATTCTTTGCCTTGAAGAAGTTGAGAATATGTTCCATGGATATAGCTTGCTCATTTAACGAGACGAAGTCTAGCACTGGGATGCCTCGCCCAGTTGGTCCAGTCACCAGCAAGCTCCCTACAAAACAGAACAATGTTAATAAACCTGCTCGCACAACATTATTGCATGTAATGCCTACCAAGATGATATCCCAGATTATTAGTCAATACACGTTTTAAAGATGATCTAGTGAATGAACTGTACCAGCAGCGTTAATAGGGCGCATTGAAAGAGAAGGAGACAGAGAAGTAGTTTTACTGATGTCACTGATGCTGCTTTCGTCCACCCACTCAGAATCACTTTCTTTAACAATTGTTCCCATTGCTGAAGAGTGGTGGCCTTGTACAGACTCTAAGAGCTGTCTTGCAACAGTGTCCTATGATGTCTCCTTGGTCGCCTCGTCTGCTCGATAACTGGAAATGAAAGGCTGCTGTTAAATACGTACTTAACCGAATTTAAAAATGTGAGAATTTAAATGTGTTTTAAGCCTTACAGCACATTTATCCCCAATCGTGTTGTTGTCATTAAATGTGCTTTAACGAGGGCAGAGATACGTTTCAAAATACATGTATTATTTGATTTCATTAAAATATAGTACTGCACACCGTTTTCGCGGGGGTGGACCATATAGGATTTGCAAATAAATCATTTTTTTGCCTTCATTTTTTGTTTTTTTGGATTTAAGAATTATCACATCTGGAAGTTTATCAAAGATCCAAGGGCGCGAAAACGGGGTGCAGTACTGTACATGAGCTGCGAATTACTTATGTATATCAAGATGATCCCAAGTTTACCTTCATGTAACTTCATTTAGTACTGTAAACCCAATTTTTCGTAATGGTCTGAGCGCATTCGGTTTGTAGGATTCGGTTTGGTTTTTCGCGAAACATCCTGCGTCTTGAGATTGGTGAGCACCTCCCGTAATAACGCAAAAATGTCCCGCTACCGTAAGCACGGGCTTGAACCCCTGTGACGGACGGCTGGCAAGTAGGTATTCGTGCCACGTCGGCTTAAGCAGCTACACTAGATGTCAGGGGATGGACATCGTCGTTAACATCAACGGTTCTTCGGCGGTTCACGGGCTCCTGCGGATGACAGTTTACGTTGAAGCCTCCATCGAATCTGCAACATGCCTTATCGTCCCCTGAAGTTCGATGCAACTTATTTCACCGTCTTCTGATGTGTTCGACACCAAACTGCAGCAAAGACAAGCATGGTCAAGCTCGAAGCTCGAAGTTGCCAGCCATAACGGTGAGCGGTCGGTAACGCACACGCTCCAAGCTAAGCAGCGATGGATTTCCTCAACGCAGTCTGGCGCTTCTCCTTCGGCCGAAATCAACACCTGGCGGACGGACAGAAGGCACTTGAGCGTATTCAGGACTTGCTGGTCAAAGCGATCATCAAATACGATGGCGTCCCGCACGCGCTGACGGTCGAGGAGATTGCACCCGTCAAGGCCATCTGCGACCAGCTCTTCCCGGCCAATTGTAACGTAGAGTAGTTACGCCGACGTACTATAATTGTCTGGGTATTCACTGGCAACTTGTGCGTTATATGCAGTCCAGCTGAAAGTGCCAAGCGCGGAGGACAGCGGACCGGAACGCCCAAAGCGTGTGCACTACCAGCACGTCTATGAAGACGAGACGTTCTCCATCGGGTAGGTCCCTATATGTACGATGGATTCGGTCGCATCGACTAATATGTAGCTGCTCAGGATCTTCATCTTACCGCCGGGTGTATCCATTCCGTTGCACGACCACCCGGGCATGAGCGTCATCTCGCGCGTGTTGTACGGCTCTCTGCATATCAAGTCGTACGATCTCATCAAGGACGGCGCCGCAGCGAGCGGTAAGAAGCACAAGGCGCGTCTTCGTGTAGACAAAACCATCACAGCTCCGTACACGACGGAGTTGCTTCCAGACCACAGCAACCTACACGAGCTCGTCGGCGACGACGATATTGGATGTGCCTTCCTCGACATTATCACGCCGCCCTACCATAGCAATGAAGGCCGCGACTGTACCTACTACCGTGTCATCGACTCTTCCGATTGCAACAGCGAGAAAACTGTGACACTTGAGAGCTATTTTCCTCTCGACTTTGATGTGGTCACAGAGGCTTATCACGGTCCCCACTTGCAACGATATGTGATGTAAAAACTTAAAAACAAGAAAACAATACGTGGAGCCTCAAAAGAATTACATTCTACGTCAGCTTATGTCCTCGTACTAGGCGAAAAGCACCTAGTTCTCCGAGGGCATGGAACGCAGAATGTCCGAGTCACCGGCGTCAAGGATGCACATGCACGACACGCGGAAGTACTTGCCACAAGCCGTACCGAGGTCGTTGTTGGTGCCCGAGAAGTGGTGCACGCCAGTCTTGGCAAGCATCGAGTAGTACTCGACCTCCGACTTGCGGAGCGGAGGCGTGTTCGAGGCCATGATCACGAGCTTGGCCTTGCCGCTGCGCAGGTTCTTGAGGGTCTGCTTGTATCCCAGAGCGACCTTACCGGAGCGCATCACCAGCTGCAGGCGCGAGTTGATGTTGTCCGAGGACTTCTTCTGCTCATTAGAAAACACAGCGAGTGATTAATATAATTTGTCGTTCCTCCATCGAATTCTCCCATCCGACTTCGCAGGAACGGCAGCGTCGCCTTCCACGGCGAAAGCGACTGCACGCGACCTCGTCCACCGGATGGGTATTGCACTGAATCAAGCAGCAGTAGTGCACCCTACCGACTTCTTAGAGGCAACCATCTTGATTCGTTTCTCTGCGTAAGCTCCACTGAATCACAAAGTAAGATTTAATTGAGTTGCTCGCACTACCGGCAGGCTCCTCTCCGCCAACCAGTACCTTATAGTGGTCCACACGAAAGTAGTTTTGATTGGTGGAAAGATCGAAAGAAATCTTGTGTGTGGATTGGTTGAAATTGAAATGTACACGATCACCGAAACGGCGTACAGTACTGTAGTACTTGGTCATTTGCCAGTGTGTAGTAATTCATGGTTGAACCAACAGCGTCGAGCCGTCCTTGCCTTAGGAATTGGCAATGTCGATTGATCCGTTGATCTTGAAGTCGCCAATCTGGTTTTCTTGGCCCAGATCTGCAAAGTTGCCTCGAGCACGTGCCACGATGTACTCCAAAAAGCTAAACGGACGATAGTTGGGCACTTCGCCGTCCTTCACCACAATAGGCTCCACCTGCACGTCGTACGCCGGCAGATAAAAGAACGGAGCTGAGAATCGACTGGCCTTGTCGGTAGCCAGCACGCGATGCAGTGGGGCCACAAACTTGTCGTTCGACCAGACTTGAATCAGATCTCCCGTGTTGATGGTGTATGTGCCCTTGCGCGGTGGTACATTGACCCACGTGTTCGACTCTCGGTGCAACACCTGCAGCGAAGCCACGTCGTCATCTTGCAGTAGAATGGTCAGGGCGACCGAGTCTGTGTGATGGTAAACGCCCATAGTCTTGTCAGGCTCTGGAGCAATCGGATAATGGTTCAATCTCATAACACTAGGGTGGTTTCCGTGGAAAAACTCGTCGAAGAAGGTAGGGTCTTCACCCAAAGCAACAGCGAACAACTTCATCAATCGACGAGACATGTACGCCATCTTCACGTAGTAAGTTTGCATTTCGTGGCGGAATCCTGGGATGATTTTTTCATCCAGCCATTGGTTTTGCAGTTTTCTTGGTGGTTCATTGCTGTTGAGACAGGGCGGATCATCCTCGTAGGCGCCTGTAAAGTCGAAGCACTCCTTCCAGTCCGTTTTGTTCTTCGTGAGCTCCTTTTCGACGTACCCACGGATATTCTCTTCCGTTCGGGCGATACTGCGCTTGGTATCTGGTGGGAGGTGGAAGAAAGAGCGCATGTTCTCTCGAAATCTTTCCATCTCCTCTTCGGGTAGACCGTGGTTGGTGACGTAGAAGAAGCCCCACTCGCTGGCAGCAGCACGAATGTTCTCAATGATCTCACGGAGGGCGACGTCCTTAGTGTCGCGTAGCGCAGCGTCGACTTCAGCGTCAGAGCCTAGCGCCATGAGCGCTCCGATATCGACAACAGGCACTTGATGAACCTCCATTTTGAATTGGGACCGGAAGATTCCGCGACTATTGGCGCAAAAATATTTTTTTTAACCAAATGATGATGAAGCAAAAAAGCAAGCAGCAAATCACTTTTTTGTCACCACGCTATATATACAGTACCGTTTGAAGTTGCACTAGTCGTCTTCAACTTGATGAAATTCTCCCACCGGAGTCTAAGATTACCGCACTCACTCTGCAAATATCTTTTATTGGTTATCTTCTCCTGATTTCTAAAAATACACGAAAAGCAAGAAAATGACATTCTTCCTCTTGTTTCTCGACGGCTATTTTTATAAAGAGCTACAATAGCCTTCTCGACGATCTAAAAGACCAACTGCTTCATGGCTATCACTGATAGGCTATCAGTACGCGTTGGACACTGTGCTACTAGTAATACTTCACTAACGGCCAATTGTGAATATATCGACCGATCAGCAGTGTCGACCCGAACGAGAACGCTAGTATGGTGCGCGTGTTCATCGCTCTTGGTGGTTCCTTGGCTATGATGGCTCAGATGGCGGTAGCCTTGGCCACCAGCGTATCTTTCGCGAACAACTGCAACTACGACATCAGCTTATACGACAACAAGGCCACCGAGACCATCACAATGGGAAGCTCCACGTCGCGCGATCTGGCCGACGGCTTCAGTGGAATGTTTCGCGATGGCATGAACACCGAAGCCACGTTGGCTCAGTTCGCCATAAGCGGCGGAAAGACCTGGTACTCCATCAGTACGGTGCCCCCTGGAGCTGGTAGTTGCAACAGCTACACCGAGTGTGCAGCCACCTCGGGAAAGACCGGCTACAACGTGGTCATGAGTATCACGCCCGACATCGGCTCCACTACCGTAAATGCTGAATGCACGCCTGTCACCTGCGATAGCGCCGACTGTGAGGGTGCCTATCTGTACCCATCAGACGACACCAAGCTGCACAATTGCCCAAACAATCTCGCTATTAAAGTAACATTCTGTCCGAATGGATCGTCCACGACCAGCACTGTTGAAACGAAGGCTCCAGTTATTACAATTACGCCTGCAACAACGAATGCCCCCGTTGCTGCAGAGACCCCAACAATCACACCCACACCTGCAGTCACCGCGGAGTCTTCGTCCTCAGCCTCGACAGCCAGCACTGATACCTCAACTCCAGCTACGTTAGCCACACCTAGCGGTAAGGGAGACTTCTCAAGTGCTACCATTCGCTCCAGCTTCGTGTACAGCGGTGCGAATGCTGGTTCAGCTGCTGGCACCTATGGCAAGGTGACGGAAATGACCACGTGTACGACCGAGGACGTTTCAGTGAGCGACCCTGTCGGTCCCTTGAGCGAAGAAGTGTCCATGGTCTTCCGCGGCCCCATGAACATATACAACATCGCTGTGTTCTCGGGCTCGCCCGGCAGCGATTGGACCAAGGTGTCGTCTTATGATGCCAGTTCCGGCACGCAGGACAACATGGTCTTCATGAGCAACTTGAACATTGACTACACCGGTGCTATCTCGAGCCCTCAAGGCTACGCGACGGCCGACGGGAAGGCAACCGCCCGCGCATCGACCGTCTTTGGTGGTTGGCTAGCAGATGCCACCGATACGTCGGTGATTGGAGGCGGTCCGTGTTTATCTACCGGTTGTGAGGTCAACATCATGACTGCGACCAACTGTGCCAACCAAGAGGGCTGCATCGGATACTACGACGACATGGGCTTCCACGGCTGGGATGGCGGCATGAAGATGTTTGTAACCAAGGTGCAGATGCCGGCGAGCTCGACTGCCAACCTTCCCGCTATCTGGATGCTGAATGCTCAGGTTGTGCGTGCGAATCAGTATGGTTGCAACTGTCGTGGCTGGGGCGCCCATGGCGGTTGCGGTGAGCTCGATATCTCGGAGGTCATCGAGACCAACACAGACAAGGACAAGGTGTCCACCCACTACTATTTCTACGACGGTATTGTGTCCCCCGGTGGTGACAACTACGCGTCGCGCCCGACCGACTCAGCTGTGACGTACGTTACTATCTTGGACAACTCCGGTGACGGCATTGTGAAGATCATTGAGATCGGCTGCGACGACTTTGACTTTTCCGTCGACTCGGTGTCTGCCGATACGGTGTCGGCGTGGCTGTCCGCACCAGTGAAGAACCTGTTCAACTAAGGTGGAATGTTGGGATCGCTTGGCAGGACAAGCATTATTTGCGGGACGTGGATGAATATACACGTCTTTGACCATTGTACAGCAAGCAACACTTTCTAAACCAATCACAACCCTTTATTTGAGCATTTCCGCCAATCATAAAATCTAGGGTTAGGTCCGACAGCTTCCGACAAATATTTTTCGGAACCAATGACAAAATATGAAAATGTCATGCAAATGTCAAGTTGTTAGGACATTGCTGGCAGATTCCGGTCTCTAGGTACCGGAATTAACGTATTTCTTGCAACATCGTAAGAACGCTTTTGAAGTATAATCGTAAGAACTAAAAAAACGTAAATACTCATAACCCTGCACTAATTTTTCCGCCAGAAGTACTGGTGGCGGGCAGCACCACTGGCGAGCTTGATTGCTTAAATATTCATTTTCTAAATGGGCAGGACATCACCCAACAAGAATCGCAAGAAGCAAGAGGCAAAAGCTCAAGGAATCAGCCAAACCCTCGCCGACGAGTACGACGTTAACAGGACGACGTTGTGGTGCTGGGTTCAAGACGCAAAGCGTGTTGAAGTGGCTGCAAAGGAGAAGCCCAACAAAACCTTTGTCACCGAAGGCAAGCGGGGCCCAAAGCCTCGGTTCTTGGCAATGGATCGAAGGTAAAGCTTTAAAGAATTAACTACATGTATTACGTTTTATCGCTAACATTGTTATTCTTCTTACTTATGTGCCACAGATTGCTTAACTGGGTTATTGAAATGCGCGCAAACAAATCCCGCTGTAAGAAAATTGAGCTTTATGGCTGGTGGAATTTAGGTAACATTTAAAAACTCTTTTTTCTATGTATATTTTACTGGTGTGACGACCGAATGTCTTCTTATCATGGCAGCCCGATTTGAACCCGAGTTTTTCTCTGGTCGCTCTGAGATGGCGGCAATTATGTACCTGCACAGATTTCGCAGACGATACCGCTTGTCCATTCGGCACATCACTCACCGGGGCACCAAAAAACGAATTGAAATGGAGGTAACCTGTGCTTGCATTGTAAGAGCTCTCTAATTTGGTTTTATCATTCAAATATTTCATTTTTTATAAATGTTTCTAGAAAATTGCTGACGAGTTTTCTAAAACTGTTCAATACAGTTAAGAGGAGTCTAGTGTGGTGTCCCACATTGTTGGCTCTGCTAAGTTCGCGTCTGTCTTCAACATGGATCAAACGGCAGTCTACATCGACATGAACCCCAACACGACGATCGACTTCGTGGGTGCCAAACACGTCGACGTCGTCCAAGGTAAAAAATGTTTTCCTTTTATTATTTTAACCTTTTTCTAATATTTTATTATGTTTAGGGATGACGGAAAATGCTTTTAGAGCTTCTGTTTTTCTCTGTGCGTCCGCCACCGGGGATAAGCTTCCACCGATGATTATCTTCGCTGGAGTTGTTGGTGCTACTGTCGAGGAGGAAGTGCAGCAAAATCCGTTGCATCGTCACCAAGCTATTCTGACAGTTCAGAAAAAAGCTTATTGTGACGAGTCACGCATACTCTATTGGATTGACGAGGTGAGCCACAGTTTCATTTTTACTGTTGCTGAAGCTCCAATTTGAATGTTCTTTTCATATAAATCTAGGTCTGGAAGCCCACCGTTTCTGGTACTCGATTTCTACTTTTAGACAGCCTAAAAAACACAAGATGGACTCTGTAAGACTGAAGTTAGAAGGTGAATGCAGTACAGAGGTCGAGTTCATCCCGCCTGGAATTACGGGCGTGGCGCAACCGATGGACGTTTCTGTCATGCGAGTGTTTAAGAAGCGATGCCGTGAGCTCTATGTAGCCCACCACATCGACAACGGCTTCTCTCCCGACCCAGCCGCCCGCCGCGATCTCATAACTCGCATCGTTGTCCAAGCTTGGAATGAAGTTCCCGCTAAGACCATTCAGAGGGGTTTTATTCGTGCGGGTATTGTTCCGTTTGGACCACGGGAGAGTAATGGTCGGTTTGGAATAGCTAAACCAGCTCAATAAACTGTTTTATTTGCGGTTTGAATGTCTTATATTCTACTCAATACTACAATAAAACGTTTTTGCAGCTATAATATGGAAGTTGGTTGGAAGAAGGGGTGAAAATATAAAGCAATTGTCGTCTTCCAAGCTTTTTACGCGTCGTTGCATGAAATATAGTTGTTTCAAAAAATACGTTAATTCCGGTACTATCCTATGTTAGGCAAGTCGCCAGCCTAAGGCAGCACAAAAGTCTTAGTGGCTAGGAGTGCACAGTTGGAAAGCAGACGAAGCAGACATGAGCCTGGCATCGTTCGTGCCAGCAAACACGCAGAAAGCGCGTACCACCGCGGTAAGCGCTTTCAAGCGTATGCTGGAAGAGGAGATGGTAAGCCTAGAGTATGTGCAGGCTAACATTGCGTCTGACACGACTGGCAAGCGCTTCGCCTCAATAATGGACCGCTTTGGGTTCTATCTGGCTACTAACGAAGGTAAGAAAGGCAAACTTGCACGCAACACTGCCGTTTCGTATTATAGAAATGTAAAGCTTTGGCTATTTGATCTGTATCCTCATCTAAGGGTGCCTACGGAGCTTCAGCTACTGAATCATAGTAAACTCTAGATAAGCACAGTCTAAAAAGAGAGAAAGGAGGTATTGTTAACAAGGCGCCTCCTTGTACAAAGGAGGACCTGCATGCACTTACACAATATGTCTACAGCAACGCTCGCGTGAAAGCCGACTACCAGGATGCTGCACTCGCGTGCCTGATGTGGCACTGCTTCGGGCGATCGTCGGACCTGGGGTACATAAAAAAGCAGCACGTGCTGACGGTGTCTTCTACGTGCGTCTGCTGCGCGTCAAGATCGCCGAGGAGCAGGGACTAACGCTCGTGCCAGACAAGACGGACTTCCTGACTTGCTCAATCCACGCGTTGGCTGTGGCGCTGGCAACGCAGGATGCACCATGCGGCTCGCTGCTCAGCCAGCTACCAGACCCTTTTCCCGTTGAAGCCACCGCCAACGCCCCCGAACTTCCGCTGGCAGAATTACTGGAAGCGGACCCGGCCGCTTTGAGGGTTGCACTCGCAGGCCCATGCTCGTCCGTGCCTGCTGGCACACCACCCGCTCCAAGTCTGCTAGACGCTGCCGCTGTTGCAGCACCCTCAGCGGTTCCAGGCCCAAGCTTGTCGACGCCGTCCCGACCAAGGGAGACTACGCGCGGGGAAGATGGAGTCCAAGCGTACGTGAACCGCCTCCTCAATCGCGTCTCAAACCCCCGCTGGTGCGTCAGAAGCCCTCTCTTCGCACTACTTCCGTCGCGGCGGCGCTCAACATGCAAAAGTGGACGAGAAGCTTGCTCCACAGTGGATCTTCGACCGGGGCGCCTGGGACACGAGCAAGGTAAACAAAGGCTTCGCGTATGTGTTCAACACACCGCAGGAAGACCGCAAGGTCGCGCGTGTACTGAGCGGGTGGAGTGTCGACGATGTGCCAAAAGTGGTGGACGTTGAGGTCTTGGATCACTCCACGCAGGAGCAACTTGCGCGCCTACAGGACATCCTGTACAGTTCATGCTCGGGGTTGAAAGACCCCCGGTTCAACGTTAGTGGTAAGGTTCTTGCTGTACTTACTGCTTACCTGGTCAAGTACTACCCTCAGTTGAAGGCGCTGTCTCCTTCTGCGCCGATCGTGCTTCGCGTGAAGGAGAGCTTGGACGCGTCTGGAACTTTTCATGCCGACATGATCGCCTGGCCATCGGCCCTGAACAGATCGCCGTCGACAACCTTTGATCGCACCAACAAGCAACAAGGTGAGGCAAGAGGATGCAGAGGATGTCATCACAACGCTGTCATTGAAGAGCTTATCGCGATGAATCGCACGTTGAGCGCTCGCTTGACAATCGTCGAAGCTGCTATGCTAAATAGTACAAGCACACAAGCTACACAGGTGCTGCGTGAACAAATGGACGCAACGTCAGATCAAGATCCCAAGCCCAAACGCAGAAAGAAGCAAGTGACGCACCTGTCGACCACATGGTATGAGTGGTACACGAAGGTGCCACCCGTTTGGAGTTCTGCCGACCGCCAGAAAAAGTCACAGTCGCGCCACGTCGTCGCTTTCATGAAAGTATTCCTCGAGCAAGGTTTCAAGCTGGACACGAAGGCGGAGGACTACCGAGACCAAGTCCTCGGCGCCGGTCGCCGCGCGGAAGAAGCCGTGATTGCCTTCTCGATGGCGCGTGGCACAAACGCGAAGGGATCTGGAAGCGTCCTGCGCGCGCTGCGCCCACTCCATAAGGATGGTATCTTGGACAAGCACATCGCCCCGTACAAGCGGCTGCTTGCGATTGGAAGAATTGTCGATCCTGCACCAATTGACACACAAGACATCCTCGCAGTAGCAGGCCACGTGTAAGTTTCAAACCAAGCAAATACATATTGCGTTTGTTAGTACACTGTATACACACACGCTTTGACACATGCAGCTGTAGCATCGGCCGTGGCCAGCATCATGAACTCGCTCCAGCGTCGCCCAGCAGCAGCAACAGCAGCAGCAGCTCATCAAACAGCGACGGCGTCGTGCCTCAGCTCCAGCGCCTTCCGCCGTCCATCCGTGCCAGCGCAGTCCAGCGCCATCTCGCTCCAGCAGCACGTACAGGTCACGCAGCACGTAGAACACACGAACATCCCACGCAAAACGCACCCACAGCACAGCACACTCCAAACCACATGGAGCGTACCCGCAGCAGCATCACACGTAGCCACAAGCGTCTGTAAGTGGCAGCAGCATTCCCCAGCGACACCGTCGTTCAGTCCTAGCGTCGTCCTGCTTCAGCATCACAAGTATCAGACCCCCACCGAATCCCAAAGGATAGCGCCGGCCTGACTTGAACGGGCACCTCAGGGGCGAACCCCTGGCTCTTTCTTGAGCTACGGCACTGTGGTGGTAGGGGGTCGGAGCTCTGCTCAGTAGCCGCTGAAAAAAAAGGAGAATGAGCTGTTTTT